CTTGCCTTGTGTCTAGTCAACACAGGTAAGGTTTATTGCCACTATTATATATCAACATGAAAGATCCCAATTAGATCAGAGCAAGATCGTGGTGCTTCAAAGATGTCAAAAAATGGATTTTGCTCTAAGGTGTTTTTGTGTTGTGGTATCACAGACTTCCCCAAAGTTGGATGCTTTGAACACTTTGAGTGTCAATTTTGGCTTGAAACACACCCATACGCTACACAGGCCTATCAATGCTATCCTTATCTAGTGAGATATCTAATCAGATAAGATGTAGATCATCTAGATGCTAAGACAAGATAGACACTATAAAATTCTGTGACACTAAATCTGCATCTGTGCTGCAGAACTTTCTGCAAGCCCAGCTGCATCAACTTTGAACTTCCCTACTATACTACTGCTCTACAGAAACCAACTCTGCCAACCTATTTGCAAAGGCACTAGCATGCAATCATCATGCAAGCCTATCAACACAATTGGGGATTCTACAAGTTTGAGGAAGATGGGCAGACAACACAGGATTGAGGGAGGACTTCAGACCTAGGATGGTGACAGGCTTGAGGGGGAGTGTTGGGAAACAACATGGATATGCCACAAAGGACAAGCCCAGCAACAGGCCATGCAAACCACAGCCAACAATGGCCAGGATCACCTAGCATCCCACACAAACAACAGTACTGGCCAACAGCCTGAAGCTTGGGCCCTTGGACACATGTATATATACTACAATGTAGCTACAGACTATCTATCACCTCTCTTCTGCCTCACTCACTGCTGCACCTAGTGTTCCAACAGATATGTTTGTTTTGTCATACAGTAGCCATGGAAAATATACAACGAACCCAGTTTATTACGTTGCGAGTGGACAACACCTGAATGCAGGGTAAGGTTAGCCAAGAAGTGCACTCAGAATATTGTATATGACTGTTCCGCAGTGAATTTAGATAGCATCCATTCTCATCCTGTATCGTACTACCCGATATAGTATCCCATTATAGTTATCAAAATATCCGGCGAAGTCAGAACTGAAACGCCCCAAGTGGTGGCAAGTCACGTCAATATATCCTTAATTCGTAGTGGCGTTAGTGTAGGGTGTTGTAGCAAAGCCAACCTGGCTGTTTCCAGCATCGTAGACGAAGTAGAATCGCTCGAGGAATGTCATTCCATTGATGAAATCGAGACCGGTCTCGGCATCCGACCCCAGATCGTTCACAATGAGGTAGACGTATTCGGAGGTGCCGCCAATGGCAGTATTCAACTACACGAGGAAGACATGAGGATGGTCACGATGCGGCCGGCAGAGTTGAATTAATTCGTACCGAGCGAGGCCAAATTTGAGCGTTTGCAGTGAACTCGTATGTGGTCTAATCAAGGAGATCAATGATGGGCGTTTTCTGGGCCACTTAAATACGCTTACTTCTCCAATGTTGAAATATAAGCTCTCGAGCTTATCGTACTCTGCCGTGGTAAGCCTGAGTAGGCCGGTGTTCTCATCGTACGTCGCCCCAGTCGCGCGTTCATATGCCTTGTAAGCCGCTGCGGCGTCACGAAGTCAACAAACCCGAACGACGGGAGCGAATTGTATCACTTACAGCTGGAAAGCAGAATCAAGGTAGTACCGGTGTCCGCAATACCAGCAGAACTGGGGAGGATAGTCGTGCTCGACCCGTAGGTGATAGATTGGTCGATACCTACGTAGGAGCTTGCAGGCTCTGTCGTCGTGATGGGCCTAGAAGGTATAGGTAAGCATCTTGCATCCCGGACACGCGAGAACTAACGTGTAGGTGATGGTGCCGGTATACTTGCTCGAATCAGTGCCGCCAAAGGTGAGCTCGCCGTTGGTGATAGACAGAGAGGTAGTCGGCTCGAAGGAAATTCCAACCTCATGTGCACTGATTAGGCCCTGAGAGTACGCGTTGTCGGTCACAGTCGGAATGCACTCGTCCGCGTTGCTTAGGGTGCCTAGGCAGACGTCAGTAGGAATTCATTCTTCGAAACCTCCTCGCATACCGCAAGTGAGATCTTGAGGGCCAATCCTGATTGAACGTGAGTGAGTGTACCTGGAATTTGTCGAGGATATTTATAGCTCACCCAAGAATTCCGTCGACACCACTGAAGCCTTCGGTGACGGATGCAACACCAATGGACTGGTTTGTTATTGCGAAACCAGACCCGAGCGTTACAGTGTCGGTGTATTCTTCCCCTTTGTAACATGGTCCGTCAGCCGAATCCATGAATCGCCGGAGGCAGAAATCACACCTTCAAAGTATCCCGAACCATAGTCAACCTCCTGTAGCCATCATCAGTTCGAGCTAGGTCATTGCAAGAAAAGAAGTTACGTACAACTTCCTCGCCAGTGTTTCGAGATGTGTTGGTTTGTACGTAGGCTTGGTCTGCTCCGACCCAAGTGTTGGAGCTACCGGTGTCGACGATCAAAGTGTCTGGATTTTCATTTTAGCTCAAATAATCCAGAGGTATAGTTTTGACGTACATTCTGTGGCAGGATATCCGATACCAACCTAAGAGATGCATAGCAGTCAGCACTCAGCAGAGAGAGAGAATGACCGAACCCCCGACAATGACTGACGGTGACAGTGTAGTCAACGGCTCCATTCATCGCAGAAACGTCAAAAACGCTAGCGGCAGCGGTCTCGAAGCCGCAAGACATGCCTCCGCGGCAGCAACCCATGAACGTCTGTGCCCGGACGCGGTCCCTTTGAGCCAGCGTCGATTTGCCAGTGAAATTGAGGCGCCTGGAGAAAGGCACAGTTATGGGAGATTTATCCCGTACGACAAGAGGCTTTGCCGAGGAGGCCAGTGCCAGTGCCCAAAGGAGGGCTAGAGAGACGGGGAGTAACATGTTGGGCGAACAAATACGGCAGGTGTATGGGAGGACGACACTCTGTCCTCACTTTATAGTCGTGGAACATGCGTTGCCCGGCACGCAGGAGAACGCCCGCCACGATGATCTTGGCTTGTGACGTCCTGTAATCATATCATCGGAACACGTTGGTGGGATGGATTTACCAAATTCAAATGTCGAGAGATTCTCGGAGATGAGTTGGACCCAAACCTTCAGCTATCAGCCGGAACCTAGAATGAGCTACAGGGATAGCACCTTGTCCAATGTCCCAAAAATAGCTCACGGCGAGGATCTGACAATTATGAGTTGACTGAAATGCACTAGATTTGAACACAGGAGGAGAAACCAGATATGAACGTTGCGAACAGTGCCTGTAAGAGTCGTGCCAGCACATAAATTAGGAAGCATGCGACATTTGTGGCTAACAGAACACAAACAAAGGAGTGTCGGTCGCAGTAATATTACAAGCGTACGTGCCAAATTGACTACTTCAATAAAAGGCGGCATTGAGACTCGCGGTAAATAAGTCCTGAGGACAGTTCACCATGCGGCGCGCCTTGGCATTGATATGTTCCGCATAACAGCGTAGTCGTGGACTTCAGCAGATGCTAAGGAAATGGTTGGGATCATCATTAACTGATTTCTTCTGCCCAACATAGTACGTCTTCAATCGTGGTACTAGCAACTCTCTGTAATTGTGAAGATGGATTTAGCCAAAAGTACTGGGAGAAGAGCACAGAATTCACCGATGACGTCCCATGCCTCCCAACAGCTTGCACTGTGGCATCACGGGGCAAGGTCTGTACAGTCATGCGAATCTCTGCCAGCTTAGCTTCCAGTGCGTCGCATTTCCTAGACGCATGTGTGAGGATCACATCTGGTGATATTGAAGACCGTATTTACGCGTGTATTGCCTTCGTCTCCTCCCTGCGTAGCTCGAGTTGCCGTCGCAACATGAGCTCTAAGTTCCCTCTTGCCTAATCGAATACGCATTGGTCAGGTTTCTGGTACAAAAAATCCTCGATTACATACTTGTACCGGTCGTAAATCGTTTGCCGCTGCCATGATGTTCTGTCCGAGAACAGTGATCCACTCGACTTGTCTCTGCCACTCCGGCGGCGCGGTGGAAGATGCTGTGGGTGGAGGTGCAAGCAGGGCATCCAGCAAGCGTGAATACGTAACGAGAAGAGACCTAAGAACATTCCGCAGTGCGGGTCTCCGGTCTGGTGAAGGTGTCAGTCGGTGCGCACCATGGCGGGTAGAGGAAACGCCGTTGCAATTTAAAATTGGGACGAACCTACGCTTGGATCAACGGGGTACAACTGTTGCCCGCCCAGATCCGCGAGTGATGGGATTGTCTCTTTAACCTGTCCAAGTCATTAACGTTTGTTTGGGCGAGTCGGTCAAGTATCAGCGCCGCGCACAAACCAGGTGTCCCCGAAGACAGTGTAGTGTCCCTCCTCGAGTATCCAATCGACTCGAGGTTTCTCAAGCTGAACAAGTGGCCACTCCGGAACGTCATTTTGGTCTGAAAGTGCCTCGTATTGGCTGGCCGAAGAGATGTTCGCGTCGGCAACGCGTTCACGGAAAAGGTCGAGAAGACGAAGGTTGTGTGTCGTGTATTTCGTGTAGTGAGAAGGAGGGGATGGAAATGGGTTGCGGAGCTCGGCCTCCTCCTCCTCCATCTTTACGAGACGTTAATGGCAGCGATGAAGTTGGGAGAAAGCATGGAGGGACGATAGCAGCCAATCCACAAGCTGAAGCCACAATATGGGACGCGTCTAGTTATGATCAGGCGTCTATTTTGACGATCGTTTTCTGCTTTGCTGCAGCCTCCTACGTCGCGAAATCGTTTTCCATTCATACCAACAAGCCATAACTACAGAATGTCTACAAGACGTAGGGTTGGATTCAGCACGTCGTCCTCGGAGGCGTCGAGGAGACAACTAATGCAACCCGTTCCTTGCTGGGAGAAAGCATGGATTCTTCCCGAGAACGCGGCACCAGGCTCGACGCTGCGCATATATAAATGGGTAAAAACGGAAAAGAAACAGGTGCGCCGTTCTTATTTCGACGTCCTTTCCCGTCTTATTGTTGGGTAGCAATTTAGCGACGATGAGGGCGAGACAGACCAACCGCTCGCCCCCCTACCGGAGCCCGACGAAATCGAAGTGGTTGAGGGAGACGAAGAGTTGGATCAAGACGAGGCCGCTGTCTCCGTTGTGCCAGAGACGACGACGGCGTCGCGTGAGGTTTCCATGCCCGCTGCGTTCGATTCTAAGGAAGAACTAAAACCCGCCTCGCCCAAACCACATCCGTTGTCCATATCCTTCCAGCCACCTTCGCCTGCGCCGGGCCAGGATGATGCTCTTGACGAATCCTTGAAACCACTGGGAGGAGAGCTAGATGCTGCCGTAGGCGCGGATGCCCTTGGTAGTGCAATGTCGCTGGATATGTCCCAGATGGGTCCAGACGGTGAACCTTTTGAGGACGCGCAGGACTTATCTCAGCTGCAATCTGCGGACGCATTGCTGGGAGGCGCATTGATGGATGATCCCATGGATGATCCCTTTGCCGTCCCTCCCGAGTCGTAGTCATTTCCTATTCTACACGTAAGAACCTCCGGCTACTCAGTTCAGGCGCGTGTTTTGTTAATTTTCTAATTTCCTAAGTACACCAATTCACCCCCTCGATTATCTCTATGCCATGGTGATATATTTATTCAGGCCGCGTTGTATCAATACGCTGAATCATCTGCGACTTTATCTTCCATCCCTTAAAGCACTGGACCCGAGCTTTGATTGAATGGTGGGTTCACTTGCGAACAATAGTATTCATGAGCCTGAGGAAGACAGTATGTCCGCCCAGTAAATCTCGATACACCACACGTTGGCTACGTCCAATTCATTCTCTTCTTTCGCATCGACATCCTACGGTTGACAGCTACCCCCGCAAGCCGAAATGAGTTAACATTGCTTGAGCGACGCATCCTCCTTATGATCCTGTCCTAGATTACCTTATTAACCATGTCATGCCGGCTTAAACCTCTTGTACGCCATCGTCCAATAGAAGGACTCAGCTTTCGACCTTTCAAACGCGATGATAAGTACGTGCGGATGTATGCTGATGGACACTCCCAGCCGCATTGTTCATCTGCGAGTATTGACTGTCCGTTACCCTCTTAGCATTCCATCTCAGCAGGATCCAGCATGCCTACGCCGGCCGCGGGCCTCAAAATCTTCGCCGTATGCTTCATTTGGTCCGCATGCAACCATTCATCAGCGATGTCCTCGTATCGTTGACAAAGTTGGACAATGTCAAACTACAGCGAGATGGTCCTGTAATCGTGGACATCTTTCGTAGAGTGAAAATCGTACCCCGCGACCTCACAGTCCAGATCAATGCAGATGGATCAAATTACAAAGTAGCTTTCTGGAGCTGTACGCCCCCCCTCGCGCCCGCGGTCTTATTCTCAGCCACGGTGCCCCCGGGGCCCAAACTCGATCTAGAGGGCGACGAATCTCCCATTGACTTGAAGGCTTTGATATTGTTCGTGGAAACCCATCCATAGTCTTCTCTCGATGAAGTAACAGTCAAGCTGTGATGTTCACCTAGCCTCTACACGTGCGTGTTGCCCAAAAATTGCCTGTTGGAGCTGTTGGTGAGGTCGTCACGCGGTGGTGAGAAGGTAGAGCGGCATGCATCATGGTGAGCGGTCAACCATACCTACACATACAAATGTCTAAGCAAGAGCTTTGAAAGAACGTCATATGTCCTATCCGGTCATCCTGCGAGCTTCCACTCAATATTCCATCTAAGGTTTGTGTACTTCCACTGCCTTTCGTCACCAAGACTGGCAGCAGTGATTTCCAAGTTCAGTACGGATCTGTAGAACTAGTGTCGCCCCTCCCCTACGATACTACCCTCTGCTTATCGCTTCAGATCCGCTCTTCTGAAAGGCAGCGTCTCAGGTCAAGTCCTTGCCTGGTCACGCCATTTAGACAGAGCTCCAGAGCCAATCACCTAGTCCCAAAATACCTGAGGAATGGACACGTAGTCGTTCGGTGTTAAGAGGCCATCCTTGTTGCTCCCTTCAGGTGGTCCATCAAATCTGATTGCAATGTAAGCTGTGTCTCGTGCTGTATAATCTGATTCTGGAAATGCATTGATGTAGCATACAATCTTCCCTTCAGCAGGGACTGCATCTTGTTAAGAGTCAACATACAGTATTGTTTCGGTAGTGGTCACGTTCAAGCATAGTATGCTCTCTGCTCATGACACACTCACATTGATTGTTCTTACGATCAAATGATTGGATTGTAGACACGTCTAGTTCTTTTTGCTCCCATTGATGCAGGAACAGGCGACGCACCAAGATTTTGCTCGGTGTTATTACCGCTCACACCTAGATCCACAACCACAATTATCTGCGTCAGATTGTTGCGATTGACTTTAATTGTAATTGTTAGTATAACGATGCAATCTTGTAAGTGCCCCAATGAATGTGCTACAGGGAACTGAATATTCTGATGGGCGACAGTGATTCGAGCGCTATGCGCGACGCGCCAGCTACTGCGTAGCTCCTCATCATTCAGTGGCACACCACTGGATCATCTCGTGACGTTCTCCATTCTACAGTTCGTTTGAGCGTCTTCAAATGCTACAGAACATAAATATCAGTTCGAGCTACACGATCAACACAGCCGTCGCATAAATTTCCACCTCTTTAATCACCTCAAGCTACTACACCTCCTCACCATGACTACTAATCCCGGAGGCCCCATCATCTTAACCCTCACTGAGTGGGCGGAAAACAACATCTCCGCCATCTACAAAGCCACCACTCAGAACGCTTTCAACAGCGCGTTCAACGCGTTTGTTGCCGACGACGCTCACATCACGGTCAACGGCCACGAGCTGACGCGCGAGAAGTATCGGCAGCTTCTCCAGGATCAGACTGGGCTAGAGAATGAGAATGTAACTTTCTCTGGTGCCGTCGGCGTTCTCAAGAAGAAGGATAATTCGCTGGGATTGGTAAATCAACGCAAGTTGTACGTCTCACGACAACGAGCTAATACAACATGTGTTAGGCTGGCAATGCTGGTATCTTCTACAAAGCGACCGGCAACCTCGTCAACATCAGATCTTTATCGCCTGCGCCGCTGCGGATCATTACTTCGTCCTTGAACATCACGTAAGTATCTCTTCTCTGTGTCTTTTGAGTGTTGACACTCACGTATGTGCTCAGTGTCGTTCAGGTGGGGACGTCTGAGACTCGCGTGGTCTCGGCAGTGAACCAAGTCGTGCTGACAGAGGACAGCCCCAATGTTCTGCCTACCCCCCAGTGATCTACTAATGCTGAGAGTATAATTGTTTGTTCCCTCGATGGTATATCCCTTGTCCGCCAATTAGCCGTGTATCATGTAATTTTAAAGCTGAGAATGATAGTAAATTGTCTGAATCATTAATGAACGCAACGAAATAGCTTGTTCTACAATCTGTCTTGTAAGACCCTTCCCACAAGTTACTCATGTCTCCGCGATACTAGCCACGGACTTCTCAGGCCGGTTGAACGTATACTTTCATGAATTAAGAAAATTTGAACTTGACTATAGGGACGATATACAAGGAGCTCGCTGTCGCTGAGCATTTCCCTCCGCATCCTGGAGACTGTTCCTTCGACTTCTTGACTACGCAGAATACGGCCTCGCCGTCTCCGGACAATGATGTACACGTCCCAATTGGAAACAGTGTCGATGGCATTCAGGTTCCACTGGCAGACTCGTCCATTTCGTCGCATCCATAGCTCCATTGAAATCCTTCGATGCAATATTATTTCAGAAATTACCATATCGGAAGCCCTCAAACTACGAACTGTGTTCCTTCCAGCTAATGCTACAAATTGAATAGGACATACCAGCTCTTACAACGTAAGATCCCGGCAGAGATCTGTCCTCACGCAGGCTCCCACATGAGGTCATTTAGTATAATTTCTATGTCCTTCGCCACTCGAAGTGCTACAGCATAAGAAATCCCACATTTGAACGTGGGCGTTGTGTCCAATTTGTCCGCAGGGGAAGTGCGGATCAGGAGACGCATCGAAGCCAACTCCATGACCTGGGAAATCCACCTTGCATAAGAATCAGCCACTCAGTACAATGTACAAACGACAGACCTGAGCGTATAGAGCCACACGCGAGATCTCCATGTCGGTGTACTCGCCAGGCTGGGAATACTGCGGAGCCGCCGGGCGTGTCTCCACGTCATTTTCCTCAAGCAGCACCCCCAGAATTGCGATCATCCTGTCGAGGGTGAAAGGCGTAGGACCTAAGAGCCTCTGCGGTATCTGTACAAACGCACGACGAGCATGAGATACCACGTTCGCACGGGCAGATAATCGGACACACCTTCACGCCACCTGCAGTGCTTCCCGCCTTTGGTTTCCTGGGGCTCCCGCCCTTTCTCCGTGGGCGTTTTGCGCGCTCATCTCGACCACGACCGAACATTCGTAGGTCGCTCTTCGGTGGGTTCGTACTCGCCAAAAATGCCGCGACGAGCACGAATTTCGCCAGCCTGGGAAGCGCCTCGACACACAGCGCAGAAGAGTCTTGCAGACCAGTCACTTCGGTGCTGTTAAATTCGCGGGGTACTTGCATTGGGGGAATTGCGAGAAGGTTCGGGGGTGGCATGTGCGCTTTCGCCCAGTCAGCAGCATTGTCCATGCGCGGATAGAGTGCCTCGAGGGCGGCAGTGAACGAAGGCGTGAAGAGGCGTATGAGCCTGATCCGGACGTCCTCCGCCGGCGGTGCCAGGACTGGTTCGAGCTCACTCTCAACCAGCATCTCTTCCTCGCTATCAGATCCTGTCTCGTCAGCATTGCTCGTGGCGCGGGCTTCAGATGCTCGCAAACGCTGCCTGTGAGCATCAAGTACGGGCTGGACAAAGCCGGGCCAGCGAGACGCCGCGATGTATGCAAGCTCGTAGGGATCTCGAGTGAAAGGGGCACAGATGCTATAGAGTGTCGCAATAAAGTGGCTATAAAGCGGCTTAAGAACAGGGTTGTATGCGTCCGGATCAATGTACAAGCAGGACGGATTTGAGGACGGAAAGAAAGATGTAAGCATTTCGAGAGTAGCTGGCGAGAAACAACTAAGCGCAATACACGATGAAGGGTAAACCACTACGGACCTTGTTTCGATATTAGCGGGGCGTTCATATAATATGGCTCTGGAGACGCGCCGAGTGTTGGGCGAATATCCTCCCAAGGAGCATCCGAAAGGAGAATGGTAACGACGTCCAATCGTGCCTGTGGAGGGGGTCATGTATGTCCGTTGTATCTCGCGTATATGGCATACCAGCTCAGCTAGGCGTGTCAGAGGAATTAATAAATCCGAGAGGTTGTCCCTCAGACGTTCTGCACGTTCAACCATGACAACCAATCGGCAAGGCTCAGCTTCTGCAGTCACCTTCCCCTTTCCTTTTCTCGTACTATCAGGGGATGCTCTGTTCTCCCTCTGAAGCGAGGATTGAACTGCTCTCAATCCGTGCAAGAATGTGTCTATGTTCTCGTTGTATCGCATGCCGTCGCCAGACCAGTTTTCACATCCATCCTCCCAAGTCGGTGTCCAGCCGGCAAGCGAGTTAAGCACAGTATCGAATAGCAGACGTTGGGTGAAACACGAGATGGCGTCTATGGATGCATAGCGCAGAGACAATGAAGGATCCTCTGAGAGCTGGGAGAGCACTGAGCGGATGACGGAAGACGCGATCTTGGGGTTTTCAGGGTCGTACACGTAGATAAAGTGCGGTGGGCAGAGTGATAGCAGAGTGGTCAGGTGTGAGGAGAAGGTCTCGTATACGCCGAGAGTGTTGTTCGCCATAAGTATTGCTCTGCGACGCAGCAGACAGTGCGAGGATCGCGCCAACCGTGAGAACTAAACATGTGGCACTGAGAAACCCAAGCAGTGGTGAGTACAACTTGAATAAGGCTTCAATCTTTTGTCAAGAGCCGACTGCATGTATGTGTCGGAATGCAATGCGTAGAGTGACCCAGCTGTATCATAGCAGCCAGGAGGCCGTCGGAAGGACCGTGACGCGCTCACGCGTTCCATACATACCGCACCACGTGAGCGATCCCAGACCTCCCGTGTCCTAGACGACCTCTATGACATCGACGGCCAACCATGTCCTCTCAAAATACTGACGACCCGCGAGATTCCAGCGCGGAGGCTACTGTAACATTCCCTGCAACGTGGCAAACCGATGCTCCAGGTTCGTACAGTCGTTCTATTGCAGTCTCTTTGACTTACAGCTTACTTCATGTGTCCTAGATGGATTCAACGCCACGAGTGTGTGCTTCCTGTTTCTCACATGAGCTATGTCTGACACAAAAACAGTCATGTTCGGCACTGGCCTCATCATGATCACCCGTAACAGGTTCGGTTGTTTGTGTTTCTGTCCTATCTAGTGTCTGCTCTAACCTCAACGATAGATTTCTCGCGTGGCCATCTCTTCTCCTTGCCCTGAACGGTCTCATTAACCAACACCCTCTTCGGACGAAAGAAGGCGGCAACAGCCCGATCACCACCCTCATGTGTGTTCCAATCCACGACTTCCTCTCCATGCCGTAGATGCTCTACTTATCTGGATCACATCTTACTCTCAGCGTTGCAGCCACTGCCCTCGTCACTGCCTACCTCCCACTCATAATGATTGGTCCCAAAAAAGCGCAGCCGATGCCGATCACATAGAGTTTAGAATCATGCACTCGAGCGTCGCAGATTGTACGCTATTATTTATCCTACACTTACTGCTATCGCTTGGCCATGTTGTATCTGCCTTTGCGAGCCAAGTTCTCAATGAATGGTTGATAGGATGTTATACTCCTGCGTCATGCTTCAAGCTGAACCCTCCAAAGTAAGTCGGCTATGGCTGCACTGTGACGGTGCCCGCGCCCAAGTGACCACATAGCTCAGTAGGCCACCTTAATCCGACCCTTTTCACGTGTATGGTTTGTAGTCGGTGCTTCCGCATGCAGTGCCTCTTTGCCTTGCGAATAGTGTCGATCGACAGTCAAAGATTGTTGGTAGATTACTTTCAATTTCTTCTTCACCGATCTGTGCAATTGGGGTGTGCTTCATCTTTATTACTGAGGAGTTTGATGGTCGTTTTTCGGCAAAAACTATGATTCCGGTGGTGCGCAAACTTCCCCTCGGCTTCGCCGCGTCCTTTTTGTTGTTTTCGTTGCAAGAAATAAGTGATGATCGGAGAAGCGCTCACAGACACTTGATTATACGTCCATTATACGCCCTGCATTCTCTGTATATATTCAGAATCAGGGGGATTCAACTTGACTTGAAAGAGCCGCTTCTGATTCTGCGTTGATCTTCCTCAGTAGACTTAGGAGTGCGCGCATCTCAGGGTCCGCATTTGAGGAGGGAGACAATATATTCACTTCATTTATCGCCGCACACGTCTGTACGGATGTCGTCGCGTGTCTCCTTGATAAACGCGCAGTCCTAGAGTCACATTGACAGATGTTGTCGGTACTTAAAGCCCACCGCGGCGCAATCCCCTCTCGCCTCGGTCATTAACACCAAGAGCTTCTGGGTGTCCAGCGAATGACACTGCTTCGTGCACCACTGTCTAGAATAGACTTGCTGGCATCGAGCTTGTGTCCAGTCTGAATATGATCATACCGCCTATAGTGCAGAGCAAACTTACTGTGACCGATATCCGTCTACGCAGACGGATTTAAAATGGGTTTGAGCTGTTTGCCTGTAAAAATATGTAGAAACGCAGTATGTACCATACATACAGAGTTTCCCCCGGGTATGGGCTGTTTTGTCATACTTTGAACGAGGCGTAGAGAAATGTGAAGTCGTAGCCATGCCGCCGCACCGTCATGATGGAAGACTAGAGAGGAAGCACGCGGGCGGACGCGATGGCAGCCACCGCGGCCGTGGCAGTGGCTGCACCATGGACCTCACGAACTCCCTACAAAAGCTCGCCGGATACTATCCGTCCAAGTCACAAAAGTCTCAGGACACGCTAGACAAAGGCATTACACTGCTCAAGAATAATGGTTTCGCAAAGCAGGGCGACGAAGGTAGGCCTGGCTCGGATACGCAACGCGTGTCCTGAGATTGACGCATTTTCATGTCCCCCAGGCTGGGAGTCGCTGGAGAAGTTGACCCTCGCGGCATTGGACCAGGGAGATCTTGCGGTGGCGGACGTACGTCCAACGCTTGCACATATGTTATATCAACTCGAGCTTGACTGATGTTACGTGGGTATCCTGCAGCAATGTCTCCAACTCATAGTGGATAAATTCCCGGGATCCCCTCGAGGAGAAACGCTTCAAGGAATCCGGATGGAGGCTACAGCATCTCCAGAGGTTGCTTTAAAATACTACGATGAGCTACTCGAAGCAGATCCTGCAAATGCAGTATGTATCCTCCCGCTTGATATGAGATCCTGTCTCATGCCCCGCCTCATGTCTCCAGACAGCTTGGCGAAGAAAATCTTCTATTCTACGACGTATGGGGAAAATTGATTTGGCTGTTCAGGAACTTTCAGCAATGCTTGATACATTCTACGCGGACGTCGACGGCTGGCTCGAACTCGCCGATATTTACGCGTCGTGTCAGCAGTGAGTAGCTACTTTACCTCTTCGCGGCATTCAAACTATAATCCATGATATCAGGTACACGTATGCACTTCAATCCATTTCGCATGCCCTCTTGCTCGCGCCGCAGAATCCGTTCCACTTTCTTCATTTTGCAGAAACGGCCTATTTGGCCAACGACATCCCGCTATCGCTGAAGATGTTTCTAGTTGCTGTGGACATGACGGACGACGATGACGGGCCCGTTCCGCCCCAAGATTCCATTCCGGCGGGACTGACTCTACGCGCTTGGTATGGCGTGAAACTGGTATGTGTTCAAACCTTCATGATGCCAGTTGTGGCTAAAGGAGGACAAACGTCAAGTGCACTCGCCGATTTGCTACCGAGCCACGTCTCCTCTCATCCTCAGCGTCACACACGGCCGCTCCGGATGCTATCACGCTGTCTAACGTGGATGAGCTATCCACGGAACGTCTTCGCACAGCGTACATGAACATGAAGGGCGAGTCTGCTCCCAAAGTTGATGATGACCTTATTGTTCAACTGGCTACCATGATCCAATGAATGGAGCCTGTATCAGTTAGGATATTTATTGTCGTTGTTGATTACACTAAGATTCTTTCGCTCGAAGAGGCCTAACTGGTCATTTACGCGGAGTTCAGCAGCTGGTCGCGCATTGTACTTCGAGAGTTCAACCCTAATTTCAGTCGCATAACGGGCATGGGCTTGCGGCTAGATAACATATGGGGAAAAGCGAAAATGCGAGTAGTACAACAGTAAGATGACCTCCCAGCCGAGCGTGCTCAATCTAATGAGGATAATTGACGCGATATGGCCATATGGATGCATCTAAATAGAAGGTATTTTACTTCTCAGGGTTGGGGTTCCTGTAGAAAACGCGAGGGTCAGCATGGAATTGAGGGATCAAAGGGATGAGAAAATCAGATAGGAGCGAAAGACAAGATGCTAGGTATCAACACAATCATTCAGTGTGAACTATGCTATGGTTAAGTATCATCCTTGAGGCAATTCAGGTATACAATACCAAGGCCAGTACAACTGATTAAAAAATAAAGACTCACATTCTCCGCTTGCCGCCGGGAAGCGTGGTGACATTCACGAATCTGATGTTCAACGTTAACAAGGAGGCAAATAGTATGTAACAATGATACTGACCTGCGGTTGTAGAGGATCCGCTTCTTAGCACGACCCTTGGGGGTCTTCTTCTTCTCCTGCTTTTCGACCTTAGGAGTCTGTGACTTCACTTTGCCGGCACGGGCGAGAGATCCGTGTACTGTAGGAGTGTAGATAATTATGAAGAGGTACTCAGGACGATGGAGCTGGCGACGAACCTTTTCCCATATTGTCTTGAGGTGGGGAGGTGGTCGCGGTGGGTGAGGGTACGCAAGACCGGCGGTGCTGTATAGTAAGCGATCTAAAGTTTGAATCGGCATTTTAATTACATAAGCGACAAGCGCCACGGCGGTGGCTGCAGCAGTTGCATCCGATGTTTGACATCGTAACTTTGTTGCTCGTAGCGAATGTCTCGATGAGGACACTTTGGTAGGCCAGCTTTCTGATCACTGCCGGACAGAACTGTGTGCACTGTGTCTGTTAGCCACATTTTCTCGGCGTCATATCTTCGCTGTTTCTGTGGCTGCTGAATTCCATGCGACTACTGTTAAACGGCCTTCTCAATACTGTCGCAAAGGGATTGAAGCTCCGCAAATTGTGTTCATCGTTCCGGACAAATACTTGACCTATCGCTCGTTGGTAGTCAGCATTATAAACGTGATGTATCGAGAGTTGCTCGGGGCTTGACAGGATACGTCATTTCCCCTTTGTTGTCCTCATTGTTTCATGAGACGGTTCTCGCATGTCATTAACTAAGCACCTATCGTAAGTGATCCGTTTCCAAGCATTCGGTATAACAGGATATGATAGGATGATAAGGATGGCAAGTCATCTTGCGTTGTTGTCCTGCTTCCGCTGTTCGATGTTCAAGTATACTGCGGGTTCTTGTTCTTGTGTGTATCGATTGATGTTATTATTATTCAATTACAACAAGGCACGACTGAAGCGATTTTGTCAATGTTATCAAGCATCCCTCTGGTAACAGTGGGATTAGCGCCCAAGTATATGGCTAATCTAACCGAACACCGTTCGAGTTACCATCTTGTCTGAAATCATTCGTCGTCGTGACTCTGTGACTATGGGCAAGCTCCCTGAAGTGTAACGAACGGAAAGCAGGAGCTCCACGACGCTGTCTGAGTGTCGCATTATCGAGCGTGATAGGTTCCTCGCAAGCTCAACGATGGGGACTCGTGGAATATGTGCGAACTGCATTAACATACAGTAGAGTTCGAGGAGGTTGATGCTTAAGGACATGTAAAACCAAATCATTCCGAGTCCGATTGAGCCGGGCCTAATCATATCAGTGAGGTTGGGCTTGCAGCGAGGCGTTCGCTGACAAATGGTGTTGCTGAAAGTGACATGGGCGTCTGATGAGCTGGGAGAGCTCTCCCCGAGTGAACCATCTCCAGCCAGTCTGAAGACTCGGGCTTCAGATCCCTCCTGTCCTCAATGAGACCTCTGCGCACTTCTTAGTTAGACTCCTGCACCCCTCGTCTCCCTTGTTCTTGTATTTATCCCCCATCGTGAACCCCGCACTTTCACAATCGCATCCCTAATCTCTACACCTTATACTACAATTTCGGCATGCCACCAACAGCCGCCGCACCCGTGAAACAGTCTCCCAGCACTTCCTCCGACAAAGCTCACAGACGAATCGAGGATGATGAAGTTAAGCCATATGTTATCGTGAGCGACCTCGGCAAAGGGAGCTTTGCGACCGTCTATCGGGGATACCATGAGGTGCGCGAGGAGCCAATGCAATCTTGTACCAATAGTTGGTATCTGACTTGCCACTTAAATGGCCACAGCAAACACATCGTCAGGTAGCTATCAAGACCGTGAGCAGAGCAAGTCTCAGCCCAAAGCTCTTCGACAGCTTGCAGGGAGAGATCGAGATACTCAAGACCTTGTCTCACCGACATATTACGAGGCTGCTGGACATTGTTGTGCGTCGCTTTGTTCCACTTGTCTTATCCCACCGACAGATCTTTCATACTATCTCTAGCGAGCGGAGAGGAATATATATCTCATTATCGAGTTCTGCGCCGGAGGAGACCTCTCCAACTATATCAGGAAACGTGGCCGGGTGGAAGGGCTAGAATATGTACCATCTCCTGGAGCTGCACCAACGTACTATTCACATCCGAGAACCGGCGGTTTAGATGAGATTGTGGTCCGCAGCTTCTTGCGCCAACTCGGTAAGTCAGTTTGTGTGAGCGAGTTCGTATGGATTGTGAAGCTCACTGAAAATTTCAGCCCGTGCCATCAAGTTTCTCCGACAGCGTAATCTCATACATAGAGATATCAAGCCACAGGTACTGGTCGATGCAATATTTACCTATCTATATTTACCTCGTCCCCTAGAACCTTCTCCTGAACCCTGCGGCGTCTGATGATTTGGCTCGTGGTCATCCACTGGGCGTTCCAATACTCAAGGTCGCAGATTTTGGGTTTGCTCGATCTCTTCCACAAGCTATGATGGCTGAGACGCTGTGCGGTTCACCGTATGTCCACTTCTTCTTTTCTTAGCTTATCTTATATCTTGTTCATAGACTATACATGGCGCCTGAGATCTTGCGATACGAGAAATATGACGCAAAAGCGGACCTTTGGTCCGTTGGCGCCGTGCTCTACGAGATGGCGGTTGGCAAGCCTCCGTTTCGGGCTGCCAATCATATTGAACTCATTAAGAAGATCGACAACTCGAAGGGGATCAAATTCCCTGATGAGGATCCACAAGCGGCAAGTCGCGCGGCCAGTAGCGGGGAAGAGATCAAGGCTGTCCCAATTGATGTCAAGCAGCTCATCCGAATGTTGTTGAGGCGTATCCCAGCCGAACGATGTAGTTTCGATGACTTTTTTGGTAGCACAGCGATGGCAAAGTCAAAGTTTCCGAAGCCAACACCAGAACCATCGCAAAGCTGGCCAGACGAAGATGAGTATACTCCAGACGGGCGGCCGGTTATCCCAGAACACCATCGTATCATTCCACCTGAGGTGCTAGATCCAAAAGCCATGATTCCTCCTAGTAAGTTCAACTTCAGGAAACGGGAAATCGTCGGCGCAGACGCTTCTCCTGGACCGAGGTTAGCTCTGGCATTTGCATATTTTAGGACAGAAAAATGACTAGACACTAGCTTAGGGAAGAATGGCACGGGTATCGTGGAGATCTCAAGATCGCCCACGGCGTCTCCCTACCAGGGTACGTCCCCATTGCCCAAGCCGCCATCTGAAGAGGTGTCTGTCATCCCTGGCGAGACCGAGGAGGACGGTCTACTTCGGAGAGAGTATGTACTTGTCGGCGACAGGAGAGCGGTAGAGATTACTAAAGCTGTAGAAGGTAAGTAGGATGATTGTGTGCTAATCACCCATCTGATCGTCTCACTGGTAGAGATTAGCACTGCTCGTAGGCGACCGCTGCGAGATAGACGCATGCAACTGCCATCGCCTCTTATGGATGAACCCATGCGTCATAATTTTCCAGGATTTGACAGCTCCTCGCCTACCAACGCCAATACGACTTTCCCCCCTCCACCAAATCCTAACGCGCCTACGTTGTCATCGTCTCCATCTAGTGCTGGTTCACGCACAGCGGCCAATGCACTAACAAGAGCCCTCAGTCTCGCATCAAAGAAGCTGTTCGGCTCGTCAATGCGCTCGTCGCCACACTACCGCGAATATACTCCATCGTCTTCATCTCCGAGACGACAAACGATATTGTCCGGGAGATCGCAAGGTCTTGGATTACAAACGAACAGCGAGCGTGACCCCATGGAGGACGACCTTCTCGCGGAGCTGGAGGAGCTGGCACAAAAGACAGAAGTTTTAACGCGCTGGGCGGATGAGATGTATGAATACGTTAAGGCCGTTCCTCAGAGTAAGTTATCCAGTTCCCTGTTTAGCGGGCGTTGCCTCATCGTTTGCAGAACCCCTCCCAGATCCAACGAAGTTTGCGAGAAAGGAAGGCGAGGCCGAGCGGCACGCGGTCAAGAGGAAGAACGCCGATATACAAGCGGAATACAACGCGATGACATGTGTCGCGTTGTACATGCTCCTGATGTCGTTCTCGCAGAATGGTGTTGGCAAGCTTGTCAATTACTATGAACACTTGCAAATGCGCGATCCTGACGGCGAGTGCGAAGTCAGTGAAGGGTTTGATGAAGGTGAGCTAGCAGCCGTTCTTATTCTCAAAATGTGACGGCATGGAGACTGATCCGATTTTCTCAGCTTTGGGCTGGTTCGAGGACCACTTTAATAAGTGCCATGATCGTGCCGCGCTAGTGAAGACTTGGCTTCCAGCTCAATACACTGGACCCCCAACCTTTCTTGACCAATTGGTCTATGACCGCGCCTTGATGCTTGTATGTTCAATTTCTCCGTATCAGGTGGCCTTTCATGTGGTTATATGACTGTTGTGTGTACAGAGTCGTACTGCCGCGCGCAAAGAGCTTTTCGATCAAGCTACCTCGCCAGATGAGTGCGAGAAGCTGTATGAAGAGTCTTTGTGGTGCCTGTATGCATTACAGGACGATCTTCTTCAGAAGGACAATCCCTTTATGGATGAAGACCGGACAACAATATCCACTTGTGCGTATCGCGCAGAAAATATAGCCTTTTGTGGGCTTCTCTCCCTTTACTGCGTTCCTCTTAGAGCTGACTGATGGTGATGCAGGGATTAAGCGCACAAAGCTCCGTCTCGTTAGATGTCGTGTGCGTATGGGCATGAATGACCGCGATCGTATCAAGGACGCACGCTTGGATAAGAATCTCGACGATGTGCAGCGCGATCCACCTCCATGGGAGGTGCCAATTTTGGAGCCACCGAGACCTGCCGGCGACTCTCGGCGGACGTCGATCTCGCCGGCTGTATGATCTCAACTTGTCTTTGTTTTCCTGTTGATCAGTAGATGCTATTGCACTTGTACTACTTTATGCTCTTGAGACAGAGCTGTGTACTTTCCACTGTGATTTTCATTTGGTTCATTGGATATGCATCATGGACTTACTCGCAACACCGCTATACATTGTCTGTCCACTTGTCACAAATACTCATTCATTGTACTAACACATTATTGCTAATACATTTTATGTAATTATGCCTGTAACTGTATGCTCCGTCAGAATTCAAAGCTTTTGTTTAAGTCTTCATGTAGATGTTCGCGCATGCCGGGAGGTAGTTTGGGCTGTTGCCCCTCTGCGATATATCCTGCATGGAAACCGCGTCAATGGGAATCGATGAGACAAGTGAGCGACGGACGAAACGGCATTTCGACACTCTCCTTGGGATTGAACTTAATTGTGGGATGGTCCTGTCAGTGAGACAGTCAGAAGGTGAGATGTGATCGTGTGGGAAAGACGGACGATGTAATGAATTTGAGACAGCGTTGCTAGCCGTTTGAACGGGTGAGTATGAACTAGAGCGCATGAGTAAACAAACGCACCTTTGTCCTCCACGACAAGCTTGGTGACACCAAGTGCCGTGTCAGTTGTCATTTGTACTGGTCCCAAATGCCTATTCGGAAACCCCAGGATCCGGAGCTCCGACGTTCTGTCGCGGGGTGGATCATCACCTGAAAGTGAATCAAGCTTCTGTCAATACTAAGAGGTGGAAGTTGACATCATACCGAGTATGCCCTGTTAGTACATTAGCTCTATTTAGTCTCCACAGTAAATGTAGGAAGATCATGGTGATATTGGAGTGTGCGACCTACACCAAAGAGGAACCACGCGAATCGACCATCCCCATCTTCGGGGGATAATTCATTTTTGGCTTTTGGATCCAAGAGACAAACCTGTTCCTTAGATATACCTGATTGTTCCATAAGCTCCAATAATGAGACGGTATGGGCCAGTGCAGGAGCCAATGCATCGCCAATGCACTGAGAAAACAGGGTCGATAGGGTGCTGCACGACGACTGGGATAAATGAGTAAAGTGGATATTTCCCCTCGGGCCTGCTAGTGTGCGCATATGCTAAGTAGCAGTCACATTTGAGTCAGGACGAAAGCGAACGACACTGCGGAGTGTGCGCCACGCACCGCGTACTCCAATTCGACCCACCTTGGAATGGCTCTACTAGTTTCTTCGTCTTCCTCCATATGCTCTGCGCCGACTTGTGAGCCCACCAGTCGATAAGATGTATGCGATTGCTACGACCTACCGATGACATACGTGAATACCATCACCAAGTTGTACTACGAGCAGGGTAGGTAATTCCTTCAACCTTCGCTTTTGCAGGCTTCAGATATCCGTATCTGACGTTATAGACCACTATTGACGGAGTAGTCAGACTGATGCCTCGAAACTCTGTTCAAATGAAAAGTGATTCGAGCGTTTCACGTGATATATGCAGTCTGGATGGAATAAGGAGTCGAAATAAGTTCTAGTTCGCAAACACTGCCAGCCTTATGGATAGCTATTCGCTGTTCATCTGATTGTAGTACCCGCGGAACCCGCGTACTGGTACTGGCATGGATGGCGGAGCAGCACGGACGGATCATGGAGACTAGGGTCACAAGCGAAACGACGTCCTCGGGGGAGAGCGCCCACAGCGCGATCCTCTCCTCCATCCATGTTGTCTAGGACCTCGTTACGCGGGCTTTCTCGCGCCCATCTGCGCTGCAACTTGTCGACCCGCGCGTCAGCAATCCTCTCCGCACTCGAGATCTCCGCAGACACGGAACTAGCGGGTGTATACCATGGTGAGTGGACAGGGACGGGGGATATCTTGGAGAGCGTGTGCCCGACGACGGGCGAAGTCCTCGCGCGCGTACGATCTGTGAGTCTCGTTGAGCGTAGGATTCGAGGTTTGTCGTGACTGACACGTCGAGTGACGGTCGTTCGTGTGTTACACTAGGCCTCGCCTCAAGAGCTGCAGACTGCGCTGGAGAAGTCGAGAGAAGCCTATGAGCTCTTCAGACTGGTTCCGGCACCCAGACGCGGAGAGATACTGAGGCAGATTCGAGAGGCGCTTGCGGCCAAGGTATGTAGCTTAGATGTCTACTAGGATCAGCTTACAACGATGCGGCACAGCGCGAAGCATTAGGCGCGCTGATGTCACTAGAGATGGGCAAGATCAAAACGGAAGGTGTTGGTGAGATCCAAGAAGTTGTCGACATTGTGCGTTAGCAGTTGTCCCCACGAATCGCTCGCCACCTCGCTCACCATGGTATAGGCCGACTATGCCGTTGGGCTGTCGCGAATGATGAATGGCCGAGTGGTCGCCTCTGAGCGCCCAGGTCATAGTATCTACGAAGGTACGTTTTTCGTGAACGCAGTCGAGAAGTGGGCGATGTGAACGTGAAGAATTATATAGTACCGAATCCGCTTGGGGTTGTGGCGGTGCTCTCCGCCTTCAACTTTCCAGTAGCGGTCTATGGCTGGTGAGGAAATCTTACTCGCTGCCCCGCGTTCGTTCTTGACTAATGACATGCCTATAGGAACTTGGCTCTCTCACTAGCGGCGGGGAATGCTACTCTTTGGAAGCCATCGCCGAGCACGTCTTTATGTTCAATTGCTGTCACAAAGATTGTGTCCCAGGTGTTGGAACAGAATGGTTTGCCGGGCGCTATTGCTGGCCTTGTTACGGGCGCCAAGGACGTTGGTGAGGCTGTCGTGGAAAGCCAGGATGTGGATATGGGTAAGGCAATGCAAGCTCGCGCGAATGCATAAATTTTGATTGATTGACGTTCGAATAGTTTCATTTACGGGTAGCGAAGCTGTCGGGCGTCAGGTTGGTAAGGTGGTACAATCTCGTTTTGGCAAGGTACTTCTCGAGTTGGGAGGTAACAATGGTCTGTTCCCAGTCACTGCTCGTTGCACGTACTTCTGACATTCGCCACTGTTAGCTTCTATCATCATGCCCGACGCGGACCTCTCACTTGCCGTGTCTGCCGTGTTCTTCGGAGCGGTTGGGACCGCTGGCCAACGTTGCACGTCTACGAGGCGTCTCTACTTACACCGGGACATTGCACCAGAATTCCTATCTCAACTCCAATCGCTGTATGCCTCCGTTCGGCCCGGAGACCCTCTGGAGCCAACGACGCTGCTCGGACCGCTACACACGCGCGCTGCGATGGGTGTGTACTCCTCTGCCGTGGACCGTCTACGAAAGACTGGCGCTGAGATCCTCACGGGTGGCGCTTTGTATGAGGGTTTGGCGAGCCCGCTGGATGGGGGCAATTTCGTGATGCCGACAATCGCTGTGCCGAAGACAGTGGACCTTGCGGATGCGGTGTGGAAAACAGAGACATTCGCACCGGTGTTATGTGTAGGCGTGTTCGACGAGTTGGAGCAGGCGATCAAGTGGAACAATGGGGTACCTCAGGTACGCGTGCTCGGTTGAGCGTTAAATATGCACGATTTTTAACAGGAGAGGCACAGGGACTGAGTAGCAGTTTGTGGACGAGAGACATCAGGAACGTCGGAAAGTGGATCGGGCCAGTCGGCTCCGATGCTGGTATCGTCAATGTGGGTCTTACGTCTTCTCGTCAACAACGAAGGGTTAATACTAACGATTTGTCCAAGGTCAACGTTGGCACGAGCGGCGCGGAAATTGGTGCAGCGTTTGGCGGAAACAAGGTACGTGATCTTGCCATCATTGTATTTGCTCAATTTGACATGCCCTGGCTTCTCATTGAAGAGCACTGGATGGTGAGTTATTTGCGAACATGCGACAAGTAGCCTATAGCTGAGAGCCATTATACAGGGGTCGTGAGTCGGGAGGCGATGCATGGAAACAATACGTCCGCTGGAGTACATGCACGATCAACTATTCAGACAAGGCTCCTCTCGCCCAGGGAGTGCAGTTCTCATCTGCTGCCTGAGCACATTCTTGGCATACAGAGTTTCCTATCGTCAACAATGGATTGGTACTATATGAAACTGTGTGCACCACGACATTACATAAGGTATGCATGAGTGGTTTACCTTAAGACGGCATTGGATGCTGCACGAGATGGAAACACCCTTCGCGGTCAAAGAAATTCCTGCGCTATGAGCAAATTGGTTGGCCTCCTGGTACATGAGATTGGGATCTAAGATGAGATGAAGTGCTGTTGAGTCCTCTGCAACAGCCTTCCAATTCGAAAATGCTATCGCTGATGTTCGAAGTGTCGACCTAGCTTCAGCAACTAGAGGCCATCAACATCCAGAGAGGTACTCTTCTATGCAATCCGGTCGCTATACATAGCACGGCCAGCTGATTTCGGGCAAAGTCAACAAGATGATCAAGGAGGGTCTTAATCTTGGTCCTCATCCTGTAAATGGCATCCTCATCCTGTTGAACATCAGAATCGGTTGATGAAATAGAAAGAGGTGAGCATACCCCTAAAATCTCATGGTTCAGAAGTTTGAAGTTATTCTTGAGCTCTAAGCGTCTCTCTTCTCGTCCTCAGACCACTTGGCCCTCAATTTGATCATCCTTTCTTCGATCTCTACTGTGTACGTTCACTATCACTATTCCTTTCGTCCTCGGCAAACTCGGCTCTGACTTCAATGCGCCTTTTCTTCCGATTTGCGCAAACGATCGTCAATTGAAGTATCCACATTGCACCGACGCACTTACTTGTTTCATTATAACTACAATTGATAACGAGCGAAAGAAGCAAGACATAACACACCGGCGGCGGGAAGCCCCTAAGCGCGTTGCGCCGCTCACCTTTTCTTATTTGCTCTCTTCAAGCTCGACGAACTCATTCCTGCTGGAGTGGCAGGCCGTAGCTTTTGACGGGCTTTGCGCTTCAAGCTGGGAATCTCGTGAGTTTGGAACGAAATCAAGAAGCCGAATACGCTATGTCTTATCGTACGGGAGGGCCAGGCTCCCTATTGTCCCTGCTCGTCATACATACAACCTCTTCTTGCCTAATCCATGATACACTGTGCAAGTCATACCTTCTCACAATATGGATTATGGCAGCTGATAAGTCCGGCACCACCCGAATATCGAATATCCTCAGGTGACTCCAGGACCTGTGAAAGAAAGAGTTTCATGAAGTCCAGACATATACGGAACACATTAGTATTATAGTAATAAGACTGACTGGGGTATACATGCATGTTATCTGCTCCTCGAGAATGGCCAACTGACGCTGTATTTTCCTTCTTTTGACGCCCCGACGGCCTCCACCTCGACGTTTCCTCTTTATGCTTCCCATATCCGCCCCAGTTTCATTAGACGTAACCCCTGAGCTAGCCGCGTATGATATGCTGTAGCGAAGCGCTACGGGTGGCCAATGTGGTCTGCATGAGCCTCAAAAATAGACCTCGTTCACATAACCCGCCTTAGTATACTTGATTGTTAATGGTTCCTCGGCCTTAGTGCCTCTCAGGCTGACCCATGCAAATGCGTAGGTGCCGGAAATTGCTACGAACTGTTTTTTGTTATTAAGCGTGTACGTTCCTCATCACAGCAGCCTGACCTGGCAGTTGGGATTGCAATCATGATTTCTAAAGCGAAACGGACCAAGCAGAAGACGAATGCCTTGAGGGCCTAATTGCTTCCTGCTGGCTTCAACGAACGAGAGTCCGGCCCGATCTGCCACATCAACCGACATGGATGAACACATCGTTAAAAGGCAAGTGTCGACGGTGATGGGCCTCGAAGCATACAGACCAAAGCAGACTGCTTTGCCTCCATCAAAGGACACCTTTCGCAGTTTGACATAACTGGCCGTGGTATACAGGAGACTGTATCGAATCAAAAGGCTTCATTGCACTCAGTAACTGGACTGGGAGAAATAATGACATGCGCATGCCGAATGAGTGGCCCCTCTTCTATCCTAAATACATCTGGATGATCACCGATGAGCTCCTCCACGATTTCCGATGAAACTCTAGTCAAAGAACAAACATCGTCCTGGATGGCCCGTCTACATGACCTTCCGATGGCAGATCCTTGTTCATTGGAGCATCGGAGACCGGACGAGACAGTTTCGACTTTGAGGGCTCGAGGACGGCCGCTGTGTCGCTTACTGTCAAACATTGCAAAAACCATGATTGCGTCAATATCTGCAAGATAATGTGTAGGAAACGCTTCCATATTCAATTCATGAATGAAACGTTCGAGTTCGGTACGCGGTGGAATTGCAGGATATGAGGGTTTCCATTCAATCTCCTGATAATTAAACCGTTGATGATTGCGGCCGGATCGCCGAAGTGGAAGATCATGCATCGTCGATGGTGCAATAAGTATTGGCAGTAGTATCGCCTTGTGATCGGGAAATAACAAATTGCACTTCGAAGGTGGGATGGTGGTAGACGAGATGATGAAGGTCCAAATGCACCAGTCAGGAGCACATCACACTTGCGAGTATCTGGGCGCCATCGTGATTGAAGCTCAAGTTCAATATGTAACGTGTCCTAATCTATACAGTTTACAGAATAGACAGAATACCAAAAGTCTGCCACTTCCGCGCAACACCCCTCCAATCCGAACCAATCTAATCACAGAATGTGATGGCCAGGTCAACCTGCGCATTCAACCCCACTTGTTCAAGTCTGCTACTCGTCAAGATGGAATCACTTACATTAGCGACTGAACAGTCTACAGACTGTGGGAACTCGCTTGGGGGCCCCGGGCTGGAGCAGCTAGAATAGGTGCCTACATCAGGAGAATTGTGAGATACCACTAATGATCTAATTGGAGAGCACGACTGACAGTCTGCGCCTGCACCACCACAACCATTGTAATAACTGGAATTCTCATATATCAGTGTACTACTCAAGACAAGAGAGGGTACAGCTACTCACCCGAACCCAATCGTCACAGAGAACTCGTACCTAAAACAACATAAATCAAGATAGCTCTAATGACAGGGAAATACATACGGAGGGATAAGCGAGATATAGGCGCTGCTTCCAGTCTTGTTGCGCGTTGCCTCGACGACGGTGCAATGTTCACCATTGTCGCCACAGTTACCTGTATAAAACGAGTCATACAATAGCATTGTAGTGTGATTGAAATGCTTGTGTACCAGTCTGCAAGTAGCTAAAGAAGTTTAGAGAAAGTGTGTAGTCTAATCACAAAAGTCAAATCATCTCCTAACTCACCCAATCAAACCATCGGCAGGGCCATCGCTGGTGTAAGAACCACCAGTGGAGAGGAGAGCACCGTCAGGTCCCCACAAGTAAGGCTACATAATGAATCAGACAGCGGCAGAATGATCATGAAGCGCAAAGTACAAGTACAAACAGTTCCATAGCCACAGCTACAGGTTTATGTGATCAATGAACCGACATGAAGCAGGCTCGATGATACTCACCTGTTGGTGAAAGTGACAGTATGAGACTCGCCACAGACCTGCACGAATGCCATGGCGGCAGCGACGAGAGCGATGGTGACCTTGCTGAACATTGTAAGCGGGCTGTAAATCTGAGGGAGGATGCGAAAGTCGAAGCGCTGAAGGGGCAAGCGAAACCTGAAGACGGTATGAGTTGCCGCACAGGTTTTATATTGTACGACCGGGGACGCCGAAGTAGCCTTGACAGATACACCTATGGCGACAGAGAGTAAGCATCGTTGCATACTTACCTGTCGGCGCTGGTGGTCATCAGGGAGGAGGGTCATCGTTGCATGGGGCGTCTGTCGTTGTTCCTTCTGCCCTGGAAATTCCATGCGAATGGCGAAAGTATTTCGAGTGGCAAAGCATCATGATCTCCTTTCCTCAAACCCGGCCGCATCCTGTTTAGATGTCAGCATCCATTATGATTCTCAACGCATGAGATAGATGAGGATGCATACTAGTCGATATCGTAGAATTTGCCATACAAAACGTACAAGACGTCTCGACTGGCTTGAATGGTTCAATTCCCCGGCATAAGTCGGGAATTTGCTATTGCAATATCATCTACTATTGTGCAACATTACTTATGCCAAAATATAATGACATTAGAATGTACCTATTCTGAACTTCCATCTTCCTTGCGTGTCGAGATCTTATCGTAGTCTAGACGAGAAAAATGTCGCATGCAACGGCCACAAAAAGATATGGGCTTATTTTTTCCGATTCCATAGCCCCGGCTGGATGCACAAGGTCATATGCCATGCCGAGGTATCGGAAACTGCATACGAAGAACTTCGTACCATCAAACTGCTTCCGTTGCATCGAAACGCCCAATCTTATTGTGAATCGAGTCTCCCGACGCTAGACATCTTGGAAGACAGACATGGTTTCTTGGTACTTGGTGTCTCCGGGATTAGAACGGAGCGACTACATTGCTATCAGTCCGGAAGCTCAGTTTGGTATGAGATCGAAGTCACGTAAGGGGTTGCGTGCCAGAATGCGCTAGTTTATACAGACTACTTGTCAGGCCTTCAGGGTTCGGCCGCGTTCGAGATGCCCCTAGTAGTGATCTTGCCGGCATGCATAATGGGGCAGGGCGGCTGGTGTAACTGCTAGAGATATATCAACAACATTCACCACTCGAGATGTAGATTAGTAGGTAATTTGCGGGTATGCGCTAGCCTTACCTAGTAGATGGAACAGGTTCGACCATGCTTGCTTGGAGAGATGACGGCTGGGTCACTCCAGTGATTCGATCAAACAATGATCGAACCGCAACAATCAGCCGAATAAATCCCTGTTCCGAGTCAATGCTAACCAGGAAACGGATGTTAAGTACAGCTTTTGCTATTAGTGTAAACCCTAGCGCAGCTTCTGAGATTACCTAGTATCGTTACGGCGTCTCGCTTGCATCATGCCTTTCCGCTCAACTAACACCGTTCACGGTCCCCGCTCAAGCACTATGTCGATTCTTCCTCACCCGGAGCTGCGAGACTTGCGCACCCAGCTGCAGAAGATACTCGGCGACATGGCGATTTTCGGGCCCGTGATCCCTAAACCCCCTGTACTCGACTCATCCGCTGATATCCACGCAGAGGGAGAGGGCTTGCCTCCGGAATCGGTCCCCGGTCTGCGTGCACTGCGCGACACTGTGAAAAGGGACCTCGCCGTCCTAGAAAAGGTGACCTCTTCATCGAGCTCTGATCTCTTCCCCCTAGCCTTACGATTTGCTGTGATCCAGTAGTTTCTCGCTGATCCAAAGAGCGCATCCCTCCCCCCACTCTCGACGAATGCGCCGTATCTGATTGCAGTATGGCACGAGGTTCTACTTGCGCCGCAGCCTATAACGACTGTCTGGAGAACGTACCATGATAACAGCAAACCCGCCGCGTCGCGCACAAGAGGCTCCCAAAAACCACCTGGGATAAAGGTCGATGTTGTAGCAGACAATGGGCGTCGATGGATACGAGTCAATACGTAAGTGTTTGAGTTTCTCGTGTTTTGGAAAGTGTGGCGTGTCTGCTTGCTTGCAATTGCACACGCCACCTATGCATCACCTACGCAGAAGTTTATGCGACTGCAGATTTGCAGGCCTGATACGCAGCGTCGGTCGTGCTTTACGTCCCACAGCCCATAGCCCATAGCGTTTTCCTCGATGGTTCGCTGACATCAGCTATACACTATCGTTTCGGCAGCGTGAAAAATTCCCGCTTGCTTGCTGAATTCCGTGAGATGGACTCGTATCTCACAGACTCGGAGGATGAATTGGACGACCCAAACGCCCTACCTGCACTGGTCCCCGCTGAGTTTGACAATTCTGTTCTCAAAATGGGTCGTGCGCTCTTAGCTGCCGCAGACCACAATCGATTACCTGGAACTAATGATATACCAGCGGTGACGCTACGGCTGACTCGCCTAGATCCGTCGCCTGCGAATGAGAAGGAATACGATCCGCGTATCCAGAAAACAGTACAGCAGCTACAGGATATGGGAATAGATGTCGAGCTTGGGGAGAGGGACGCGACATCTGTTTCGCGCTCGATGCCTGCTCATCCATCGCACCCGCGGCGTCTCGAGCCCACGATGCACATTAACCTTGATCTTTCCATCCTCATCGCTCTCGTTTCCGACATTACACATGCACCTCTTCCGCAATCCGCTGAAGAGGCAAACTCGCGGTTCATCCCCCCTCCGGAGTACCGTGAGTGGAAGAAGAAACAGATCGAGGCGACGAAGGGTGCTCAAGCTGCGGCCGCGTTGGACGGAGAGGCAGAGCAGGGCCTGGGAAAGCATTCGCGGGCACTGTCGAATCAGGCTTTGCAGGAGATGGATCAGGGACTGTTGCAGGACATCCACGACCGCCTTTCGTCGCTCGTCAATGAATCCGCAGACGTATCATCGCTAGCTCAAGTGGAATTCTGGACGACTCCGGAGGCGCGTGACCGCTTTCTGCGTATCGTGCTGTCGAAAATCGGCGGCGCGAACGAACAGCGTCGGGCACGCGCACTCTTCGCCTGCGCGGCATCCATGCATCGGGAAGAGGCGGAAGAGGCGTACTGGCAAGGCTCGCGCTACCCGCATAGATTCATACCCTTGCACCCCATCCGAGTTTTCCCGTCCCCTGAACCCGACGCGAGCCACGAGCAGAGTTGGGAGTCAGAGGGCACTGCTTCGTCACCGTTCTTCCGGGTCCTCGCACGAACGTGCAGGGAAGTATTAGCGCAAGAAGCAGTGCCCGACTCTCGTGAGCGGACACCGGTGGGTGAGGGAGGGACACCGGAGGAGTGTGAGGAGGAGATCGGGCGGGCGGCAGTAACGCGGGGGAATCCGCGTCTGACAGCGCATACGGTGCAAAGCGTGCTGTGGGGAGCAGTGCGGGGATGGACGACGTTGACGGCAAACAAGGCGAGTGTGCGCGCGGTTCTGCGGGAGATGAGGGCGAGAGGGCTGTCGGATGGCTGGAGGGAGGAAGTCGATGTAGGCGAGGGGGCTGAAAAGGCGGCGTTGTGGGTAGTGGATCCGCGCAGTCTTGCGGAGGGCATGCGCTGGGAAACTGTGTCAGCATAACTTAGAATGTAGAATAACTATCGTGAACGGCTTGTGGATTCTGGCGTGCGTGAGTGAGATGCCGGCCGCGCGGAAAGCGGGAAATGGCCGAGACGAGAACCGACCCGCGGGCTCGCCACAGCGCCCAGCGATTCCCTGGCGCGTCTCTGAGTCTCTCCCTCCTCTCCTCTCCTCTTTTCTTGTTTATTCTCATCCTATCTATCTATCGCCCCCTCCCAACATCAGCACCTCAGGGCAGCCGCACAAAATAGGCAGTGTCTGCGTGCTCTGCGTCCTGTCTGCTTTCAGTCGTCTCACCACCTCCCACCGCTGTTCCTTTCCGCCATGTCCTCGTCCTGGATGAGACATTGCTACTCCTGCTCTTGTGCCTTCAGGTTCATTCTGGCTGTCGTCTCGCTTGCGTCCTCAGCATTGGCAGCGCCCACCCATCAACTCGTGCGACGAGATGCTGGCCCAGCCGCTCTTGCAATATGGGTAAGTGCTCTTATTCTGCCATATTTTATTGCATCTGGGCTATGTTCGTGAGCTGGAGAGTTGCGCCCTTCGACGGCTAAGTCTTGTGCTCGTTTCCGGCAAGGCTCTCATCTTCTCCCTGCCCGCATATACTCGACCTCTTTAACCCGCCGAGGGGTTGCAGCTGCACTGATTGTTTCTCAGAGCCCACTGGCCCGTGTTTCATATCCTCTGACCGGCCTCTTTCATGTTTCTAAGTTGTGTCTCGTGATTGTGATACTCGACCATTCCCTCTCACACTCCGGGGCGCTTAATCGGCGCAGTATGGTGACGTCGTCCGCTGGAGCCCTCGCCTCTAGGGTGATATCTAACTTTCGCCTACTGGCTTCTACTCTGCTTGTTTCGTCAATGTTCAAATGTCGCCTCAGCGTACTCATCCATTTTCCAGATTCCTATCCTGAGCGTAGTCGCGGCGGTCGCAGCTGGTACCGTCATTTATAGATACCGGAAGAACAGGAATACGCAACAGAGAATTGCGGCAGCGCAAACAGCGACAGAACAGACACTCACTGCCCGATTCCGGACATGGACTTCGCGACCCGTCGCTGTTCCAGGAGCTCAAGGGCAGACGCGGGAGCTGACTGCAGAGCAGCTTGCGGGCGGCAACATCCCAGCCCGTACTCGTCGTCACCGTCCAAGGAGCACCGCATCCACCCGATCGACACGGTCGCTGCCACTCTACATGAAGGAACCAGGAGAGGAGGAGGTTGTGGTGTTCAGGTACCGTCCAAATAGTCTATAGATCTTATCTTTGCTGACTTGCTCGTCACAGAGGTCGGGCAGAGCTTACCGAAGATGGTAGCGTACTGGCCACCGGTGGTCTTGCACCAGTCGACGAAAGTGGGGAACAAACACCAAATAACTCCATTGATCTACGACGCTCTCGCGGTGCAAGCGTATCCAGCATGACACCAGGACCCGATACGCCCCTCCTAGAAGAGAGCCATTTAGAGGATAGTGGGGATCCGTCACTACCACCTGCGCTTTCACGGATTCGCCCAAGTGTGGATACGGTTGACGACGACGATGGGTCTGTTGAGGAGCCTTTGATGGCAGATCAGGAGGATGAACGAGGTCCTGCGCCGTCATATCTCGACGCTGTAAATTCGATCGACAGCGGTATCGTGCTCGATGATTCGGTAGACGACCACACATCCAGACAGTACCCACCTCAACCGGCGCCCACGCAAAGATCAGGAACACTACGCAGCATTGGTGCCCTCCGGCCGGGGTTGTTCGGACGCTCTGAGTCGTCGGTGACTACGTCAGCATCTGCCCCCACGCCTCCTTTGGAATCCGTGCCGGTCCCCGAGCACAACGGTCGGCTCTCATCATTGTTGCACAGGTTCACCCCCGGACAGCGCCAGCATGCCAGCTCCGATGCGACCCCGCCCGTCCTGCCTCCGTCCCCGCTGATTCCGAACGATTCGCCCCACCGTCGCACGCGCGGTGCGACAGTCTCGAGCCCAACTCCGCCTCCGGGCTCGCCGACCCCATCACACTATCGCACGCATAGACCCTCAACATCAGGGTCTGCGTCCGGACTGAGCGTGATGTTCCGCACGCGATCCAACACAAGTGTCGGCGCAGCAGATCGCCTGAGGTCCCCGTCGACGATCTCGCTCCACTCGATCTCCGCGCCGCTCACGCACACGGTCGTGCGCACAGAGTACACTTATCCGCGGTCGGGTCCTACACCAGACCAGATGAAGCTCATCGCGTCGGTGGAGTCGTTCAAGCGCTTCGGTGTGCCGTATGGCCCTGACGCGCTCGCGTTTGCATCAGCGTCGAGGGTGGACCTTGTGCCCCCGCCTGTATTTGAGGAGGTCGTCGAAGCGAGTGGGGAGTCTGAGTCCAGCGCAAGTTCTGGGACCGAGCCGAGTTCGGGCTCGGGCTCTGGTTCTGGAGAGGGCACCGCGTCCACGGAGAGCACTGTGCCGACGTCGCAAGAGGTTTCGTCGGTTACTCAGGACGATACTGTGGACGTCTCTGCGACAGAGCTACAACCACAGGAACCACAAGAGCAGCTAGCGGCGAAGGAGGTTGCACCGGAGGTTTGTGTGTCCGATAGCGATCAGCTAGCTGATGAGGAGGCAAAGACTGTATCGGCCAAACCGCCAGCCCTGCCTCCACTCACAGCGGAGGATGTGAAGAAGATTCTGCGACCACTTGCGCCGCCCACTTCGTTCAAACCCACGTCCCCAAAGACCCCTGTCCGGCCAGGCTCTCGTGCGAGCTCCCATGCGACGTTTGCAACGGCGGAAGAGTCGTTTGGGGGAGACTCCCTTCCAGCCACACCTAATCAATTGACCATCACGATTACGGACGATGACGAGCCCCCACTATCAGTAGCTGAGACGTCGAACACGGATGAGTCTGCTACGCCTGTCACGCCACGAAACATGACACGAACACTGAACGATGACGAAAACAACGCGGATACGACAGCGCCTTTGCATGTCTCCCAGGCTCTGTCTGCTGCTGAACTCGCAGTCGAGGTCTCTTGATACTTCATAAGGCATGCTCCGATCTAGATCCCATAGGTGACGTTGCGCCATTTCTCCTCGTTGTTTATCAATCTATTGTCGCATTTATTTTACTTACCTACTGGACTTCCTCACTAATCACGCCATCCTCTCCTCCACTCTTCGCATCCGTGCCAAGGTACTACTCACGACGAAAGGATTCTGACATTTCTGCACGTGTACGATATCATCTCGCCGTTTAAATTTGTTGCTCATCTCACTCCCGGAAACCCACATGCATGTTGACACGCATTTGTTGATTCTGTTTGTTGTACGACCGTAGACTAGTCTTGTCCTGGCGCTGGCCGGTTGCCAGATGGTTGGCCTCCGGACGGACGCGCAGTGTAACAATTGCAGACTTTGCATGCTACTTCCTCCAGCCCCCCTTTCACCTTTTTCTTCCGACCATCGCGATACCTGACATCCCCCCATTTTTCTTCCTCGTGCATTCCTAGACATCAGTATCCATCATGACTCTACATCAACGAATATGATACGACACTCGTAAAGCTAAAGATTGGTACTGAGCATAAGTGACTGGCCTAAAGCAGCTGAACTGAGGGATCAAAACACCCAACCCATAGGAATCATGGTGGAGGTTATCAAGATCGCACTGAGGTGAAGACGCTCATGTCTTCGAGCTGAAGCTAATTGTTCATCAATTGGCAAGATGTCTCCTTTAACGATAGACATTGTACACCACATTGCACAACAACAAGACAGACTGGTATAGATTAGATCCTACAGATATAAGTTGTGTAAATGTACGTCACGGTGGGATGGTGGGGTATCCAAAACGAGTTACTGTGTGGTCAAGGACCAGGGGCGGACGTTTCGATCGCTATCGAGGCTGCCGCATCAACGGGGCCAGCTTTTTCTGTGTGGGTGGAGCGGTCGACGGCGGTCGGCGAGTTCTGGTCGGATCCTGCGGTCAGGCCGGGGATCTCGTCCTCCCCCTCTGCATCGGCATCTGTATCATGGCTCTCTTCCTCCGCTGCACCCACGGTCGATAATTCCACCAGATCTGTAGTCCCATCGGCCTGCTGAACAACTTCTCCTTCATCTTTGACTGCTAGGATGGCAGCAGACTCTTCCGGTGGGCTCTGACTCTCGATCTCGTCTGTAGTCTCCGTCGGCGGGAGAACCGGAGAATCGGGGAGGGGGATAGCGGCAGCCTCGGCAGCGGAAGGAGTCTCTGGAACGGAACCTTCGTCAAGCTCAACCTCGCCCACGCCCTTGGTGACCTGCTTGACCTCTTCCGTCTCCGTCTCCGCCTTCCCCACACGCGCAGGCGAGTCGTCTCTGTGTGATGCATCGTCCGACGCGTCCGGCGAGTCCGCTCTACGCCTCTTGGCTGAGGGCTGCGTGTCCGGGTCCGCGTCGGGCTCTGGCGAGCTCATGCGCCGTTTCCGGCCGATTTGGGGGGCAGTCGACGTGGCTGGGGGTGGAACACGCGTCAGACGCGTGTCGGCTGCGCGCAAAGGGCGTGCTCACCGTCTTCGCTCCATGGCCGGTCTGGTCGAGGAAAGAACGAGCTGGATATGCGGCGTAGAATTTTGTACATGGTGTCTCTGGCGCGACGCGGGACGAGCGCGGTCGCCTCGACTCATGGGCGAAATGCAGTGGCTTTGCTCTTGTTTGGCTACCTCCGTCCACAACCGCCAGCGTTCCAACTCCGATAGCGGAGCTCCCATTGTCCGTAAGTGTAGGGCGTGTTATGTCGTAGAAAATTGTTTGCGAGGCCGCACCTGTCCTCGTATTTGAGATAAAATTTCTGCGATCGAAAGAACAAATGCAACATTTGCAGAATGCGTAAACGAGCGCCCGGCATCAATGAAAGATTAGATTTACGGACAAGTCTCGATCGTAGATCGATTAGTTTTGCATCGATGACTCGGTCTCTTATTTACAGACTCTGCTTTCCTCCACTTTACTTTCAACCTGCCGTTCACGCAATCACTTATACATGACTCTCGACGTACTTCACTTCATCGACAACAAAGGCGGAAATGCCGAAGAAATTCGCGAGTCTCAGCGCAAGCGTGGCCTCGCACCCGAGATAGTCGACGAGGTCATGCAAATGTACGTAGACTGGGTGAAAAGTGCGTGTTGGTCCCTCTTCGTAATATCGCTGTTTTGAATAAAAACACAGTGGACTTTGACACCAATGCTATAAACAAGCAGGTGAATGCAATACAGAAAGACATCGCTGCGAAGAGGAAGGTACGCTAACCCCTCGGTCGGCCCCCAGCGCCTCATTTTGACTCTTGTTCTCAATAGGCAAAGGAGAATGCAGATGACTTAGTTGCTCAGAAAAAAGAGCTGGATGCGCAGGTTATAACGAGAAAACAAGAATCAAAGGAGTTCGCACAGAAGATGAAGCAAAAGGCCTCCACTGTCGGCAACATTGTCGGCAGAGATGTGCCCGTTAGTCTGACGGAGGTGCGCTCGCTCAAGGTCTTGTCAGAATCCACATAAATTCTCGGCAGTAGGATGACAACAAGACACTGCGAACATGGCACCCAGATGGGGAGGGCGTTGCCGTGGAGAAGAAGACTAACATTATGCCGCATCACGAAGTTCTCCTCCGGTTAGACGCAATGGATCTCGAGCGAGGTAAACATACACGTCCTGCTCACCGCGCCCCGTACTCAACTAGCGTCAGGGGCAAAGATCAGTGGTCATCGAGGTTACTACCTAACTAATGACGGCATCGATCTCAACCAAGCATTGATCTCATACGGCCTCGACTTCCTACGGAAGCGGGGACACAAGAAGATTCAGCCACCATTCATGATGAACAAAGACGTCATGGCCAAAACTGCGCAGCTTGACCAATTCGATGAAGAGTTGTACAAGGTCCGCATCCTGCGTCCTGGTGCCATCGATTTGATCTGACTGCGTCCACCCATCATCCAGGTTATCGCCGCTGACGACGAAAAGTACCTCATCGCGACCTCTGAGCAGCCCATATCTGCATTTCACTCTGACGAGTGGTTCGACTCGCCCGAGACCCAGCTCCCAATCAAGTACGCTGGCTACTCAACGTGCTTCCGCAAAGAAGCTGGTTCGGCTGGGCGCGACATGTGGGGAATCTTCCGCGTGCACCAGTTCGAAAAGATCGAGCAGTTCTGCCTCACAGAGCCAGAGAAGAGCTGGGAAATGTTTGATACGATGGTCGCCAACTCTGAGGCATTCTACCAAAGTCTCGGCATCCCATACCGCGTCGTCGCGATCGTATCCGGTGCGCTGAACCTGGCGGCGGCGCAGAAGTATGACCTGGAGGCGTGGTTCCCCTTCCAGGGCGCATACAAGGAACTGGTCTCTTGCTCAAATTGCACAGACTATCGTGAGTGCTAAGGCAATGTTTGCAGCTGTCGCTCACCAGTTCGTATCTGTATGCAGAGAGCCGTAGACTAGAAGTACGATGTGGCCAGAAGACGAAGGATCAAACGCGCAAGATCTACGTTCATATGCTCAATGGCACGCTCTGTGCCACAGAACGCGCCCTATGCTGTCTTGTAGAGAACTATCAGACACCAGACGTGAGTTTCTTCTCAATTTGTTCAAACTTATACCAACTTTCGTCCTAGGGGCTTGTGGTCCCTGAGGTGCTCCGGCCATACATGCAGGGACGGGATTTCTTGCCATGGGTCAAGGAGTTGCCTAAGAACCTTCAGCGGAAACAGGCTTGAACGACATGTGGCAGTGTAGAGAAGCTAGCAGTTTATATTTCTGTACAATGTGCTTGTTAGAAGAGATATCCTCGTAAATTACGGATAACGGCTACATGCAGAGGAGCAGGGACCCGGTATGCTGATGAGATTACTTCACTTTGCGGGGAATCAGGAACTTGCGCGAATAAGATACAGCGATGGAGGTGACGTGCAGAGACCAGAGAGCGAGAAGAACGAGGTAGAACGGGGTATGACCAATACATAAAAGATAGTTCAATGCAGTCTAATTGAGATAGCCACGACATTTTACGGAACCGCACAGACAGGGGATCTTGTCTTGCTCAATGGGGAAGTGATAATCTGCAGCCGGAATGAATACACCTTCTCCACACGTCTTTGGCCAAAAAGACTCACCATAAGTAATCTCACTACCAAGTTCAATGTCCTGCTTCGCATAGATCACAATCTTCTTCTCGCCATTGATAGTGATGATCTTCGCAGTGCAATTAGGGTCACAGGAGTGGTTGATCAGACGACTGGGGGGCATGATTAGCGATAAACATTCAAGTACGGACAAGTGCCATACCCCAAATTTCCCTTCTTTGTGGCATCCACCACCAGATCTTCGTCAATACGGAAGAGGTAGCTGCTACCTATGCCTTGTCGCTCGTACGCCTTCTCACGTTTATCTGCTACCTGCGCCCGAATAATCTCACCCACGTACTCGATCACCATCTCACCCCGAGAGATCTTCTCCATCGCATACAGACCCCAGTCATGAATAGGTGAGCGCGCAAAGCGGAGATGCTTCTTGCGTGTCTGCAACTGATTGAACTTGACCAGCTCCATAGCAGCAGACTCTCCCTTAGACAACGCCATCGCCCGATGCACCTGGTTGATCTCTTCGAGACCTTGCGCGCGGCGGCGAGCGTTTGCGCGATTAGATCGTGAAGAAGTGATGCTCTGCTGTGGAGGATCCACTTCTGGCGCAACCTCGCTGACGGTTGTCCGCGACACGTATTGTGCGACGTATGCCGATTTCTCCGCGTGTGAGATCTTGTAATATCCTTCTGTACGCGCAGAGCCCGTGACATGAACACGAAATGGCGGCGGCGCGTCCGGATCAGGCGTTGGCATCCGTCGTGGTGTCGGCGCAGGGTCTTGCCCAAAGAGGGCGCGTGACACTGCCAGCTTCGCGAAGTAGACATCCTCGTCGTCTTCGCAGATTCCCTCCTGTATAGGATCCAAAAGAATGACTGGCTGAGGAACTCGTATTGATATCTTGGTTGGAGGTGGAGACGGGGAAAGAGAGGATTCATAGTGAGGTGGTGGTGTAAGCCGGACTTGCGTGACAGTAGGAACTTCGAACTCGAAATCGTCCGGACGAACTTCATGGATGATTTCCTCTACCACGGGAGACCTTATCACACGACTCGGTTTCTTGGTGGGCTTCTTGGCTTTCTTCTGCGATATTGGTGGAACCGTCGTTTCTGCACCCAAATCAACCTTGAGTTTCTTCTTGACCGGCTCGAGCTCGCTAACTTCGAAGGTTGCTCGTTTGAGTGGTAAATTCTCCGACGGAGGCTCTGGCGCCTCAACATCTTCGTCCTCAGACTCTACGTCAACAGCCGATCTTGCCAGCGGAGCCTCTTCATCCTCAGACTCAATATCCTCCAATATGATCTTCGGCGAGACAGCTCTCTTACGCCGTTTAGTCGGCCTTTCGATCCTAGCGCTACGATCTTCGCGTTCGAGCACTGCTGGGAGATCGACTTTTGATGCCACGGACAAGGGTACCTTGGGTTCTTCTTCTCGAGGGCGCTTCTGTTTCCTGAACGATAGGCCCTTCAAACCCGATGGTCGATGATCTCCCGCATCTACCACCTGCTCTCCAGGCTGACCATTGACCATGGACATTGTCTTCTGGCCACGCTTCCCCTTCTCGTCCGCAACTATGCGCTTGACCGCGTTGCCGACCACTCTGTCCACGATGTCCTTCTCTAATAAAGATCTCAAATCTCTCAGGACAATTGTTCCTGCTTGCTGCAAAAGCTCGTCTTCGGTCCAATGTGTCTTAGCAAGAGTACTGGGGATCGCTGGCGGGGAATGCATGGTAACAGAGACAGAATGACTGGCGAGCGTACGAGCCCCAGAGCCAAGTACCATTGCTGCACGGCGCGCAGAGTCACTGGTCCGAAATGTGACGTACCAACCAAGATGATCCCGCAGAACCTGTAAATTATTGACAATGTGAGCATGCCGGACTGTCGGGGACCAAAATTAGTTGCTTACTTTGTCGACCTTAAAGCCATCAAAAAACTGCCTCACATCCTCCTCCCTTACCGCTCCTCCTAGTTGCGCACCATGACCGTCCAACGTGACATGATCATACCCGTTCTTCGCCAGTTCCTCCACTACAGTTTCGTGCTCTTTCTGGCGCGCATGCTTTGAAGACTGGCCCGGTTTCCTCAACACTGGGGAGGGTGACCTGGACATAATTGACCGCACATCCGCGTCGTTATCTTCCGACGCATGCAGACCGCGCGGAGCAACTGGCGCCGACAAGGTATGGGTCCAGTGCAATGGTGGATTAACCTGGGCCATTAATGATATCGGGCGCGCACGCGTAGCTGATGGAGGTGGTCGTCGAATGCGCGAGGGAGATATGGTCTTGGAATCACCTGGGATACCGTTGGGGCCAGCGGGCATTGGGGAGTTGCTGGAAGAGGCCGGCCGACCGAGTGGAAGAGGCAAATTTGCACCAGGTGGGCCCCTTGCACCTTGCTGGTGGCTGTTGGAAACAGCAGAATTACTGCTACGCCAAGGTCCGCTGCCATTCAGCGGTGTTTGGCCCGCAGGTGTTGGCGGCGTACCCTTCGCAATGGCGACCCCTCGCATCTTTGCCTCCTTCTCCTTCTTCCTTTTCTCTTCGCGTTCTCGTCGTCGCCGATCATCAAGCTCCTTCAAGACTGCTTTCAAAATCTTCCCTTCACCATCAAACACAACCGCCATCTCCTCACCGCCATTAGCAAACCCGACCCCGGCAGCGAGCTTCTTCCCGTGTTCCTTCTCCAAACATTTCCGTGCTTCCTCATGTGAGCTGTACCTGATCAGTACGACACCAAGAGCACCACCGGTGGCTTTGTCTATCTGTGGCTCGAAGGATGTAATAGTGCCATGAACTGCAAAACATCGTCTGATGTGTTGATTTGGTGTTAACGGAGAGAGATTTGTCACAAGCACGGCAGTAGGTGGGGGTGGTCCTGTTGAATTTGTGTCATACTGCCAGGCGGTGAGTCATGAGGAAATCGCGAAATCAGGCGTTCACGCACCTCATAGTTCACCAGGTGGAATTCCCCCCGGAGTGGACGCATAGTGGGCAGCCGCTTCACCTTTGCCTCCTTTCGTGGGTCGCGGAACACCGCGGGATGCTCCCCATCTATAGTCTCCCCATCGTACCGAAAGAGCAACTCTTTCCCCTTCCCTTTGCCCTTAACCCGCGCTTCGTCTCCCTCATCCATTCCCAGTTCTCGCAACTTCTCGGACAACATACGAATCTGACCATCCCTGTCCTTGTCGATCGTATAATCAAAAAGCACCTTGTAGTTCTTACCTGGCGGGCAGTCTTCGGGTGCAGGAGGCCATGGGGGTAGTGGTGGGAGTTCAGGAGGAGGAGGAGGAGGAGGGGTGAGTGGTGGTGCAGGAAGAGGCGACGGATGTCCATCTGCTCTGGCGGCAGCAGGCAGGGGCGGAGGCTGTACAGACGGCTCATTTGGAGGTAGCGGCGG